CGACAGTTCCGCCGATGCTCTTGGAAAAAAATAGCGGACCAAAAACAGGTTGTAAGTTCCGAAGACCCCGAACCCATCTGGTTCTCTTTTTGTGTGTCCAAAAACACCTCCCAAAACCGCCGAGGCCCCCGGCCTCAGATGGGTCGCCCAGCACACGCGCGCGGACCCAAAGCTCAGGCATGCCCGACTGCCTAAGACCGAGACTCATGCAGGACTCGACCAGTCAGGTCATGGCAGTTAGAGCAGTTAGAGCGTCCTTGCTACTAGTAGGAGTGGCCTCCACCCTAGGAGCAATGGCCTCCACCTAGTAGCGTCCTTGCCATGCAGTCAGATCATAGGAACCCCTACCATCCAATCACCGATTCTTTTAGAACATGTCTAGCTACAGACATTCATCGCAATGTTTATAGCAACAAAGATGTCAACGGTCGACTTCTATAGTTACGAATTGTCTTTCAAAGAGCGACTTTACAATTTTTCTAGAACCCTCACTCGTTCCTCCAATGCTTTTGCATCTTCCTGTCTATTGTTCTTTTCCGGGGGTTGGATTGTTGAAACGCATTTTCTTGGCCACCTCATCTGCGCAGAAGCCTGACCACCTCATCCCAACAACTCATCCCCTCAGCCCCTGCCCTCCCCCAGGCCCAACGAAATGCCGGGGGTCGTTTCACCATGCCGGTCCCAGGCCCTTCGCCGGTCCACCGGCGAAGAAGCCCGCGGCGCCTTCGACTCGACTCCCCATCCGGCCAGGTATCCATTCCGTCTTCGACTCACCAACACTGGAGCTATCAGGCGGGAAGTCGGGATCGCAGAAGGCCTGGAGCGGTTCGCGGTTCAGTTCAGCGGAGCGGTTCACATCGAAAGGGTGGTGGAACTCATGGGGACGGACTACACAGTCGGTGGGTTCAATCATCCCCAGCAAAAGATACCAAAAGTATCGGAAAAAAACCACCTACCGACTACCGACTCGTGGTTTCGACCTGCCACTGCGAAGGGGCCATGGGTTGGGTACCCATCAAGTTGACGCATCACGCAAAAGGCGCTGAAGGCGGACACAGTCTTCGACCCTTGCTTTTGACCATCCCTTTCGAAAACCCGAGTGCACCACCTTCGGATCATCTTCCACTCCGTGAAAGACTGCCCGCGCGCTCCATCCTGGCATCCGGCCAGTCCGGACCCTGTCCGGACCCTGCCGGAGGGTTCGACCCGAAATCGGTTAGAGGTAGTGTCATTACTTTTGAGTAATTGGAAGTCAGACACTGACAGAAGCCTCTGTGAAGATCTGTGGCACTTCTTAGTGCAGGCTGAAGGTTGGGAAAGAACGGACGATATCCACGTCTTCCTGGGCTTTTCAACGGACGATGAATATCGATCCTTCGCTCCCTGGTCAAGGGGAACAGCGACATGAGATGCTATGAGGCAACTGCATGTGACCTTGGTTGATCATGAAACATGAACCGAACACCAAGGTCCTAGTCATAACCTACACTCCTCAATAGTCCACTGTGGTCCACTGAGGAGGTCAACCAGGCTCGTTCCCAGGGCTCTGGGTGCCATGATCCACATGAAAGCATGGCCCTACAGCACTCTGACGAACACCCCCACATGAAAGCATGGCCCCGAAGGGAAAACGACGTGTTTTGCATTGTTTTGCCACTTCCATGTGATGATCCGATGTGTTCGGAGGGTACATCTAAAGGCCGAGGAAGGCTGAGGATCAGAAAGCATGTGGCCAACAAAAACCACCAAAAGTGCCAGTGGAAAAGGCGTCGAATTTGGTCCACTAGGTGAAGTCCCAGGCTCTGTAGTTCCACTTCCAGTCGGATTTGGCTTGGCATGCGCACACCTCGGCTGACGTGTCATCCAAGCTAGATCAGCGGCCGTGAGGTGCAATGAAGGTAGGGAAGGTCTGAAGAAGAGATGTCCCCAACTGGCCAAATCCGGGAAACACATCTTCACCTTGGCCCCAGATGTCAGAGATGTGGACAAAAAGAAAACACATGAGTTGTTCCCATGAGTTGTTCCCATGTTCCACGGGTGAACCCGGTTTCACCCCATGGAATCACTCATGTTGCCCGCTCCCATGGCGGACCGGACGTGTACGGTCACATGGCGTAAACACGCAGAGGAAACGATGATTCCGAGCAGCTCGTGGGTGGGTGTTTGGAGATCAGTAGATCCCTCCAAGAAAAGGTCGAAAAGGTCAGGTATAGACTGTTGATGAATCAAAACCACCAGATCATAGCAGAATGGCTTTACATCCTCCAGGCCTGGTGGAACTCGACAAAATCAACAGTGTTGCATGCATCAAACAGCATTATGGGCCTCATATGGGGGGATTTGGTTCATCAACATGACCCTGAACCTACGTATAACAACATCAACAGTACCTGACCCTACAGGTCAGGGTCAGGACCTCATTGTTACTTTCAGCTTCATCCCAAAAAAGAAACCTACTAGCGCGCACGTATTCCATCCATTTATGGTTTGCTTTCACCGGCTCCAGGTCTGGTGAAGGACCAAAACCCCGCGGCGCAGCGGCACCGTGTCGTTGGCTCCAAGGGGCCACGGAGCTGATGTGCTGGCCGGGCTCCAGCGTGAAGCAAGCGGGATTCCCCTTGCGTTCCACCGGTGGAATTTCTTTTGCATGGTGGATGAGGGGGATCGAGTTGGGGCTTGGAGTTGGAGGAAATGAGATCACTACTGTGAAATGGAACAATGGAATGCGTGGAAATGATTGGAGGGTATCTAAGCATTCATGTAGACTGTAGACTCTTAGAATGAATCCACCCCGACCCCGCGCATGGAAGTCATGGGAAATCCACAAACCTCTTCAGGCTTGGGGCATTGAAGAGTCATTGATGGAGTCTACTTGAGCAGGCTCAAGTGACTCAGACTCGATCCTTTGTTTTCGACGACTCGCAGGCCTACAGAAACCTAGAGCTCATGTTTGACCTCTGTTTTGAGAGGAAAAGACCATAATTTAGGGTGGTTGGTGATCCAACATAAAGGTCACTCAGGTTCTAGAAAGAGGGACCTGTTGGTGGGGAGTCGTCCTCGAAAAACTGAGCTTCTTCATCCGCAGAACGGATTGAGCAGATTGAGGCCAAAAAGTACCAAAAAATAAAACGTCCAACTCGTCCAAAAGCCTGAAATAGCCTGAAGTTCTTTAGATGTTGAAAAGCATCCTGGTCAGCCAGTGGATTGACCCACACCCATGTCCTTCCCGGCCGCCAAAGGGCGTGGTGCCCAAACAAAAACCAATGTGGCGATGGGAGGTCCGAAGCGAATCCGCTTCGGCCCAAAAGAACGGCCCGCTCAAACGCCGCGGCCGTTCTGCCAGCGGCCAGCGGTTCTTGCGAGCGGTTCGATCAGGACCTGGACCTGAAAAAAAAGGGTCCAACACGTTCTCGGTGCTTCGAAGGGTGCCAGCGTTGGCGGCGGTCCAGGGCCTCTGGAAAGTCCACGTTCTTGCAATTGGTGAAGATCAAGGTGAAGCACTTCCTCAGGCAACTCGGAGGGTGGGAGGTGAGAGCCCTTCTGCCCCGTGGTCCCGTTGCTGCCAAAGGCTTTTTGGTGCCAATAAAAGGGGAACATGAAGCGATCTCCTTCTTGCCAGTGGTTGATTGTACCTCGCCAAAGTGGAGTCGTACCCACTCCTCCCTCCCTCCCTCCCTCCCTCGCTCTCTCTCTCTCTCTCTCTCTCTCCCTCTCTCTCTCTCTCTCTGTGACCCAACCATCACCATCACCAACCTCATCAGACCACGACCCAACCCATCCCGGCCACACCCAGCGTCCACTAGAGTGTGTCGCACAGTGTTCCATGACCGACACCCTGTTTAGGCAGCTGAAAGTGACGTCCAAAATGAAAATGAAACCTCCCCTCTTTCCAAACATGAGCTCTTGTGGATATGAGCTACACAGGCTGCATTTATCTCGTCCAAATCCCCGTCTGCCGAGCATCTTCACCGACTTGGAGGTGTTCGTGATCTTCACCGCCACATGGTCCTGCTGCTGCGTGACCTGTCACCGAGGCGGCGCCAGCCGCGCCCGGCAGGGAAACGGAAGAGAGCTCGGACCCGCTGAGCTCTTCTCGGTCAAGCTTGCTGCTGTGACTGCTAGGGGTGCCCCAAATACCGTCCCCCCCGCCCCACCCAAATGCCGCCGATGGCCGATGTCACCAACTGAACCGGAGCATGCGGACCTCACCTCCAAGCCGCCGCGGAGCACTTCCGTCCGATACTTTGAGGCTCGGGAAGTGCCCCAGCCGCAGCAGGCCATGGCGTCCCAGCGGGGCGCGTCAGGCGACGGGCGCGCGGTTGACGGGCCGCCGCAGCAGGCCACGGCGGGGCTTGTCTTGTTCACGCGTGGGCGGGGGTATGGGAATGGGCAGAGTCAAGGTGAGGCTGGTGCTGGTGGTTGCGTGAGTTTTTCCGTGTGGCACAAAAATGTGTCTTGTCCAAGAAATTCTGGTCAATGAAGGTGTTTGCTCGATTGTTGCATGGAAGGAGCTAGCTCATATTGCCTATAGGAAGCTATATGACCTAGGGTTGTCAGAATAGACTAGCACTGTGAGGAACTAGGTATCCATGGAAACTGCATTGCTGCTCTATATCGGGTGTGTTTGCTGCCAAGTGAATGCCATTGGTATGCTATCTGAGTTTGTGTTTGGATGGGTGACAGCACCTATCCAAGCCCAACAACAGGCATCGGGAGTCCATGGATCCCTTTCGACCCTCGTTCTTCAAACGAAGAGCGGTTGCCCCGGATGAAGGTTTGGTCAGACCTGAACGGACCAAACCTTAAGCCCTGGTCATTCCCATGGTCATAGTCAATGCCCAGGTAGACTTAGACTTAGAGGATCTTTAGAGGTTAGGGATGGTTAGAGGAATGTTGGTGATACGTGGGGCGTTTTGTGGATCCTTCCGAATCCTTCTTACTCACCCAACTCTGTCCTCTTGACCACACTTGATCCGAGCTCCACATGTCGACCCCGGCACCTCATTGAAGGTGGTCGCAGGCACTTGTGCCGCGGCTCGGCAAGCCACTAGGGAGGCCCTGGCAGCGCTGAAGCTGGTGTTCGGTGCTCAAACGGTTGTGGATCGTGAGGGCCCCATGGTTCGACCCGTTATGGAAACTCCACGCAAAGGCTCTCCCCCACTAAAATAAACCGACTACTGAGCAGCAGACACGCACACACACACACACACACACCACTGTGGCCTGTGCCGCATGGCAACGCTGACGCGAGTGGAGAGCATGGCGTTCAATCGGCCGACCTGGCCACAAGGAAGAAATACGTTGCGAAGACTTTGCAAATTGCATGAATCATCCATAGGAGTTGATTGAGTTGCCAAACCTGGCCATGCTTTTTCAGGTTCCCTCTCTTGTAACCTTAAAAAAAAAAAAAAAACATCCACACTCCGCACCGACTGCGCCGACCGCACCACCTGCAAGCGTCTTCGAGGTGCGCGGACCGCGGAGAACTCTCCACCGTGCTCGGGAGAAATCGGCTGCGGTTTCGGCGGCGGATTTCGAGATGCGATGGATCGGTCGATGGACCGTTCAGAAAGGCGGCAGGTGCTTCAAAAACTGGATTCCCCAAAAGGAAGGAGGTATGAGGAGATCCTGCTAAAAAAAAGTTCTTCTGAGGCCCATTCGTTGTTTTTTTGACTTGTTTTTTGTCCATGACAAGCTCATAGAATGAGAAAGGAGGAACCAAAATCAAAAATGATTTGATCTATCACTTGTTGGGTCCCTTGCCAGAACGGATGAAGGGCATCTCTTCGCGTCTAGTTTCAGCAGCAGCCTTCCCTTCCAAGCGCGCGTCCGGCTGAGTTGAGCGCAAGCACATGACATCCCCCAGCGAGACCCTATCTCCTCTACAAACCACCAAGATACAACCTTTCTTCCTTCTGAGACCAATGACCCACCACCTGAGACGGGGTGTCGGCAGATTCGGCAGATGTCACAAAAGATTCATGTCGCTTCAAGCCAAATCTGCTGAAGCAGATCATGGTCTTTCACACCCCTTCCTAAGACCATCTACCTCCAAACAGTAAGTGATCCCAAAGGAATGCCACCAGCAACACACAGTGACACCAATATATATATATATATAGTTGTTCAAGGGCGGCCTTTCTTTCACTGCCGTCTGGAGAGGTTTCACGTGGGCGTTTGCCTGTGGCTTCAACTTCACACCCTGCACTGAGGGCGAGTACCTGAGCACCAGAAGCACGGTTTGCAGCAGCCTCCAAGCTGTCAGCAAGGGTCCGCAATGAAGTAGCAGCAACCTTGATCTCAATCAAGATGCCAATTGCCAATGGCGGTCCCGCTCATGAAGATACACCCCAAGGCGTGAAGGAGTAGGCGAAGTGACCCGGATCGGATTCCGGGCAGGAGGTGCGGGAAAAGTCCAAGAAGGCCGGAAGTAAATCCAAAGGCCCAAGCACACAGTCAAAGCAGAGCCCAAGACAAGGCCTGTGATGAACACGGCGAGATGCAAGGGAAGCGAGGCAGAGCAGTGTGCCGTACCAGTTAGAACCAGCACCTGCCACCAAGAACTGGAGCACGTCGGCTACGTGCATCCACCTCTTCTTCGCTTGAAACCACGATCGACCATACCATTCAGCACTGCAAGTCAGATAGAACAATCCGCGAAAAAGACTCGGGCATCCGCTTAGACTCGGCAACTGTTGCAGCGTTTCAAGCCAGACGATAGCCCGCACACACCACCACCGCGACGGCGATAGCCACGCTCTTCTTTTGGTGCGAGCGCTCTCGCATGGTCGTCTTTCCCCCAGCTGCCCTGCGCAGCATGGTCGTCTCGCCCTCGCGTGAGCATGCGTGGGCGATCTCTATCGTTTTCTTTTGGTCCTGGTACCAGGGAACTAGAGGAGAGAAGCCTCTTTCGTCCATGTTGGGAAGCAGCTTGGGGTGATCACCCCAAGCTGCTTGATTGGCTGTTCATGTATCTCAACTCAAGCTCATGGCCTTTTTCGCTGGATGTCCGAAACCTCCAACTAACCCCAAAACCTCGCTCCAGTTCCCCCGCGGTGCACACCGTGTCCATTCACGGCTCACGGCTTTTTCACCGCGCGGCTCAGCGCCGCCTTTCGTGCACGGCCCCGGTGTTCACCGCCGCGGCCGCGGGTCCCGAGACGCACCGGACAGGCTCAGTGGACGACCGGCTTCAGCGGGGCTGCTCGGATGTTACTGGCGAGAGAGGAGCGACGGGTCGAGAGCGCAGTGTCGAGTCGAGAGCGAGAGCTAAGTGGTGCTCCTTTTGTGATCCCTAAAATTTACTAAATGTAGGTTGTTGTCTCCCATGTCTTTGACATTCTTTGACGATTTTTATGGCAGGCTGCTCTTAGTAGAGCAAAATAATCGCACCCAAGTGCTTGGGTGCTACGAGACGTCACTCTGCAAATCCTAGGAGAGCCAAGCAGGGCCTCGGAAAGTTCCTATTCACCACTTACAATTGGAATTTCGTTGTTCAAGAGACATGTCTTGCTAGTGGGCTACGATCTCCCTGCTTTGGCAGAGGCTGATGATTGGCCATGTTCCATCTTGATGTTTGCTTGATGCATCATCACCAGAAACTACCCTGCTGCAGATGCGCCATGGACCCCCAAAACTGCTGGGTTGGTCTTCGGATAATGGGAAGACCCCAGTCCGGTTCATTCTCAGGGTCCAGGTGTGTACTACCTGCAAAAGGTGTACTACCTTGAAATAACTCACCACCTAATTATATCATCATGAATCATGAAGGCCGCCTTATGTGACCGCCCTTCGCTTCAACCCCCCCACCCCCTTCGCTCACCGCGCCGGCCCCGTTTGCCCTCCGTGGCCAGCTGAGCACAGCACGAGAGGTCGATCCGACTGTCGATCTCTTCATCCACCTCCCCGACCACGGCCTCGGTGTCCGGACCGGTCGCCGGACGTGTTTTTCGGCGTGTGGTCCAGTCGGGTGACGAGAAGGATCCAAGAGGAAGGTGTTCAAAATGAGACGAACATATGCCCCTTTGGGCTCCAAGTACGGGCGCCTCCAAAACGAAGGTATGACTGGACCCTCTTCTTGGCACCCACTGGGGTGGGTCCCACCGAAACGAAGGTACGACTGGAGCCCTAGGGATGCATGGGGTATATCCCATGATGGGGTTGAAAGCATGATGGTCCCATGCTTAGATATGGTTAGATGATGAGAGGCCTTTCTCTAAAAGCTATAGAGAAAAACCAACACAAAAACATGACCAGGTTTCAAAGGATGGTTAGTATATGGTGAGGTCGCAGGCCATTCGCTAAAAGAGGGGTCATCTGTTTTACCAACTGTTACTGGTAATGGGCTACACCCGGTGTGGGAAACTACTAAAGCTACAGGCTGAAAAGAACTTTCAATCCACGTCGTAGATGGTTCCTCCAATCCACCTTCCTTGTCCAATCATACACACCTAATTATTTTTACAACATCACATTGTGGCATCAAACCAAAAAGCACGTGCATATGTTCTTTTGAGCTTCCCACAATAGTTGCTGTGGTTTCTGAGCAGGTCTCTAACTGGTGCCCTACTGCCCTACGTCTCAGCATTGTTCTTCTTGGTCCGGTCACAGCAGGCACAAACGCTGATGAGTGGATAGGACAACATCCTCTTGAGTTTAAAAAGGGGGCTTTCTGGACGTGTGATCTTCTTGTAGCATGTTCGCTTGAGACAGGATTGATATTCTATCTACTTAACAGTTTTCCTGCATTTGGAAACCTCCAAAATAGACCGGTCGCGTGTAACTCTCTACCTTTTCTCGAGTATATACTTTTTTTGTCGTTGCCGGTGCCGGTGCCGGTGCCGGATGCCGGCCGGTTGCCGGTACACAAAAAAAGTGTATTATGCTTTTCTCCGAAGGTCTTTGGTGACCTAAGCGACTTATATAACCAGGACATGTCGAGCATGCATCGAGGGAGTCAAAACCCTTTGCTGCAATGCATGTATCAAATAAATTAATGTTGTTGACAGATATTTATTTGTCGAAACCCTCTGTTGTTGACAGATATTAATGTCGAATGTTGATTGTAGTTCAACCCGCCATATGAAGAGGTTTCACAGTGTCGTTCAGGTATAGCCACTACCTCACGCAGTTCTTGGCTCATCAATGCCTTGAAAGGCCTCCTGGAGATACAAGCATTTCATTCGCAGGAAATTTCGTCAGGGATCAGACATGTCATTGCTTGGAGAACCATTGCTAAAGCATGGACTAGGTTGTTCAAGCTGCGCGCACCATGCTTGTGGCCCTGCCATTCGTGGCCTACTTTGGTCGAAATTGTCACCGCAATCCAATGGACGCAAGATGCACTTGCCACCTATGAAATCAAACTTAAGCTTAGACGCATCCAGCGTTGGAAAGACAAAATTCAAGACTCGGCTCGCATTGGGTCCGCCTTTGTCTATAGGCATTTGAAGAACAAAACAACCGAGGAGCCACCGAACCTTGTCACTGATCCCTCTGGCAATGTTATCGCAGCACCAGCTGATGCCATTGCGGAAATCAACTCCCAATGGGATGAGGTTTACAGTGCCAATCTCGGGTTTCCCCATCCCTTGAAAATGTTGGATATTGTCTGGCCTCACATTCATCGTTTTGCTGTTGACTACCCGGTGCCCGACATTTCTGCAAGGGCTCTCAGGGAAGTTGTTAGAAGCCGGAGGAAAGATGCAGCCCCTGGCCTAGATGGCTGGAGAACCATCGAAATGCAGATGCTGCCTGAATCTTGCTTCGAACCGTTTGCCCACATGTTTCGACTCATTGAAGAGACCAATGCTGGTCTTCCCAAGATGCTCGCCACAGCTAAACAGATCATTCTCAATAAGAACGGGAGTTCCGAACCGTTACAAAAGAGACTGATCACGCTGTTGCCGGTTGTACTCCTTGCCTACACAGGCGCTCGTTTTCGACACCTACGTGGCTGGCAAATGCGGGCTACGCCACAGCAGCTTCAGGGTGGTATCCCTTCTAGACAGATGTCCGCTATCCACACCCACCTCGCCCTTACGGTTGAGCAAGCCAAATTCGAGGGTACGCCGTTAATTGGCATCAAAATCGACAAGGCCAAGTGTTTTGACCGCATCATTCCCCATTACGCCGGTGCCCTTATGCTTGCCTTTGGGGTTGCAAAGTCCATTGTTGCGGTGTTTCTCAAACTGTATGACCAACTTGATAAGCATTTGCAGTTCAAATCATGGTTCGCACCCCAGGCCACGCATAGCCCCAA